CGAGTCAGTATAAAAAAACAGTGGAGTTATAGGCAAGTACCACAATAAAACGAAACTCCGACCGAGAGGAGAGAATCATTAGATATGATGAAAGTAGCTCCAGTTTGAAGGCATGTTGGAAATCGACGACGACAAGGACAACACAGAGAGCGACTGCGGGAGATCCTGAGGATAGATGATGAGTACACTACAAGGATAGGGAAAGTGGCGGAAAAGACTGGAAACGAAGGGTATAAATACTGAGGATAGTGGCTGGAATGATTACTTGAGCAGTGAGGTAGAAGGGTAATCGTGACTGGTGTCGCATGCCATGGACATTACGTGTATGCTGTGAAAGTAAAACCTCGCACGTTCTGTCTACATTTGCATGTGTATGCTGTGAAAGTAAAACCTCGAACGTTCTGTTTACATTTGCATGTGTTTATCTCTATGCACGGTGCTTAGAACTTGCAGGCGGTACCCACGATGATTGGCACTGTATAGACCTGTCACTCTTTCATTTTACATTCACTGTCTTTATCTCTCTCTCATCATTCGTAACCCTTTTCTTTCATGATATCATAGTGACAATTTGTTGAAGATTACTATAGCGTGGAGATTACTCAGTGATTTTTGGAGATTCTATTTTACTTATCTGGTGTGTACCGAAGACGATCAACGACATTGTGAGGTTTTTTATCGATTTCAAGTACGAAGACTATCTACCTGACGTTCCCAAACTTCAAGGAAGATGTTGCGTTCGCGATCATCGTCGGACAGGAGGCGGCAGACACTCATCATTATCTTCCGGATCTCAAGGGAGGAAGCGCTCAAGAAGGGGAAGATCGAAAACTCCGAGAGATAGAAGACGTAAGTCGAGATCACCATCGTCACGGAGAAGAAGGGCGGAGTCAGAATCTCCAAGGTGGTTCTCGAGACCATTGTGGGAGCAAAGACGGAATGATTTTCCCCCACCGGGAAATTGAGCGTGGTTTACGGCGGATCTAAAGGAAGACATCTTTAAGCTCCGTCGGGAGATGGACAAAGTTCTCAAGACACTGGAGCAACTCACACGAAAGACAAGTGAAAAGCAATCAGCTTCTCCGAACAAGGAAGACACCGCAAAGAAGCTTGAGCTAACTCCGGACGCGCTCAAGTCCATCATTGATGAAGCACTGAAGCCGACAGAGATGAACCAAGGGGGACATAATCAAGTTAGTCCAAGCGCAACCGGTCAGAAGAATGCAGAGGCGGAAGATAAAGTAGAAAGGATGGTATCGGAAGTGCAGAAGGAGGTCAACAACCTGAAACTACTAAAGTGTGATATGACGGTTGTGAAGGGCGCATTGCAGAAGATCAATGAACCGACTCGTACCTGCACTCCGATCGTGTCGTCTTCGGTTCATCTGAACGGATATGTGGGGACAATGGCTGGACTACCAACTTCGGTACATGGTAGCCACAGCATTCCGAGCCGAAGCATGCCAAGCGGAAACGAACCGAACAAAAGCAGATTGGGACGCGTAATCCCTCCACACCCCAAGAGAGGACGAACAAAAATTAATCGCAACGTGTCGGCAGCGAAGTCGAAGGCAAAACGGAGCATTAATTTCGGGGTCGAACCGATGACGGACATGCAGCTCCTTCGTCTTCACTATACGGACCTGAAGGTCTTATGCAAGATGCATGACATCAGGTACAAGGACAAACCGCAAGCGATCTCGGCATTGAGGTAAGTTCCCGGATTGACCGTTTACAAGGGGCGGGACTTCAACCGAGATTCTGATCTTGAAACACAGATCATGCCAGATCCAGATAACATCAGAGTGTCCAATATAACTGGCGGGACACAAGTGAGGATGATTACGAGAGCCTTAGTACAAGATCAAGCGGGAGTGATGAGTATGACTCATCCGACACATCTTCGAGCGCCGAAGATCTGTCGAGGAAGGTAGAAGATACCTCAACATCAGCCGACCTCACCACGACACAGAAGTGGGAGCAGATACACAGGCTATCAACGAAAATTGAGCATTTAGTTAGTACAGGGAGTTTCACCTTGGTGTAAATATCTGTACGTGGGTAGGACAGGAAGACAGCCCGACAAGAGATGGACTGAACA